TCCCCGAGACCTCAGTTGTCATGGGTCCGGTCGTCATGCCGAAGCTTGGTAATTCTACTGTTAAGTACGTACATCATTAGATAAGTTGTTTGATTCAATTTCAGATTAACACCATTATCTTATATCTTATATCATCAAAAAAAGTTTTCTTCATTCTCATTCCTCCTTCAAGGCCTTAATAGGTACGAGCAATATGCAGTACAAGTATTTTTGAATTAGCGGTATCCTATGCGCAAGTCATTTCGACCTCTAATGTTGACAAATCATCAGTATCACTACTTTTATTGTTCGTTCTTGTTTTCCAACAATATAAAGAAATTCCACTCGATTTCTAGACCTGGATTCCTTTATACAAATTTTTACGGAGTTGTTTTATTCGTATTAACGTAGCGAAATTAGGTAATTGTCAATTTACTTCAAATCAACGTGGTATAATTAGTTTAGCAGATACCTTGAATACTTGCTAAAATAAGCTTTGAATTACCAGACGAAAGCCTGGCGCAATAATCGGGCTTCAGCACCTTTGATACCAAAGTTTATCCACAACTCCCAAGGAGAACACAATGCCTGTGCAATTACTCCTTTTACCAAAAATGGCAGTGGGTACCGTAACGAGGGAACCATACGTGAATCAAAAAATAAAGGTTTAACTTGATAATAACATAATTTATCTAATAACGGTCAAGAAATATGTTCCTTAATTAATATATATATAATGTAAAAATTATAATTTTTATTACATAATAATTTTTATAAACTTTAAATTAAGATTTTTTTATTTAATAGAAAAACAATAGTCAAGATAATGTTGATGATTTTTTAATTTTGATTATTTTACAATTTAATTATGAATTTTTAAAAAATAAAAATTTTGCAAGTTCAACTGTGTAATTATTGCAAATATTAAATAAAAAAAATTCAAAGTATGATTCATATATAAGCTTTTAAAAAATCTTAAATTTAAAGTTTATAATAAATTATTATGTAACAGTTATAATCAATAATATATTTCTGTATTGAATTTATTTTATTAGATATTAAATTTATATTAAATCTATTATTATTAATATAATTTAACTAATTTATAGAACTTGTTGTTTTTTAATTTGATTTTTTTGCAACAATTTTTTTTTTTAATAATTTGATTTTTTTTACAATTGATTTATTTTATTTTTTTACAATATTCTTATCCTCCTTTCATCAAGTTAACATTGATTCTTTACTAGTATAATGCAATATTATCTTAGAAGAGTTGATTATTTGATAATTCTTTGCTTGCTGTTATTATATGCTGTTATAATTCCATAAATCAATTAATAAAATCAATTTAATAATAATGAGGTTATATAAATTATGATAATGCAATGTGTCAAACTATATTATTCTTGATATAACCGATTTATTAATTATTTCTAGTAAATCTATCTTTTCTTTATAATTTATCAGCGTAAGCTTCAGCTGCAGCAAGTTCTTTTGGTAAATTTATGGATTTCCATTTGCGGCCTGCAATAGGATTTAATTTAATGACTAGAATCTGTTTTGGAAAGCGCATTTTCTCGTAAATACAGCGAAAAAACAGTGCAATAACCATTTTTGGAATTTTCCGCTAACTACGAATTATTCTTGTGTTTTAAATATATTTCGAAGCAGATGATATTCAGCGGTGGCAAGGCTGACCGTGAGAAATGTTGTTGACGCGGAAACCTATCTTCATGCAATCAGTAATCTTTAATTTATGCCTAATAAATACCCCTTATTATACCTTACACCAGTGACCTTTAGCTTGAGGTTATCTCGCCAATGGTTTTTAATGTGCCTTCATCCTCACAACCACATTTGTATTTTTCTGCCACCTTGCCACAATCGAAAATCTCCTTTTCTAACCTCTTGTTGACAACATTGTGTACCGAACAAGCCCATTGAGATGCTGCCTCTCCTGAAGAGACTTGAGGTGGATATTTCACCAGAATCTTTTGAAATTCTATGGCGCTGAGGTAGCAAAAAAAAATCATTTTAGTTGAGCGATCCACCGGTTTGAAAAAGAAAGAGTAACGTTTAACGTTATAATTAATACCATTCTCCACAAGGATAAAGTCGACTAAACAAATATATGAAACTACGAAGAGCATCTTTTTCATCAGGAGTTGGATCCTCAGGAAATCGTGACATCATCGTATGGAGGAGCTAGATGATTTAATATATGGGTTAGATGGTTTTGACAGAACTGTGATTTAAAAGATGCATGTGACATACCTTCCAGCTACTACGACCGAGCTCGGCTCTTTTATAAAAAAATTTTTTTTGATGGCATAAGATAAGATATAAGATGATGGTGTTAATCTGAAATTGAATCAAACAACCTATCTAATGATGTACGTACTTAACAGTAGAATTACCAAGCTTCGGCATGACGACCGGACCCATGATAACTGAGGTCTCGGGGG